AGGCATGAAACTGTGCCGCTCAAACACTATACTTTTCCGCTCACACTGAAAAAAAATTAGAGGGAACATTGATGACAAGGATATTATTTAAAAAGTGATAAAGATTTTCAGTTCAGGACGATTGCATAAATTTTATTTAATAAAAAATTATTGATAATCTCAATTTATATATTTACATTACTGTTATTTTTATATTTAATAAATGTTCCGCAATAGTAGATATAGAAACACGGTGAGGATAAATTTTACCAAAGTCTCCCCTTCATAAATATATTGTGTTCACACAATAAAAAATGAAAAAATTAGAAGGTTCTTAGAGAAGATCTAGATTCTAGAATGACTAAGAGAAACAATCTGCAAACTGAGTGCTAATGAGGATTTAAGATTACACAATAATGGTCTAACAAAAAAATTACATGTTTTTCAATGAAAGAATTCAACTATGTCAATCCCTGTGATTTAAGGTTCAAATTATGATTCCAGCTAGTGGTATCAGAAGAGTGTGAAAGAACCCAAATGCCATGTTTCCAGTTATACAGGTTCCATATTTCTCTCTCTCAATCTTTTAATCTCTATATATCTCCAGAACAGGCTTGGTAAAGTATCAGACTTGGTAGAGATTACAGTTTTCTATTTCACTTTAAGTTTTTACTTTAAACCAACACTCAGCACAATGTATACTGCACTGACTCTAGCTTCTAATTTGATCATACTTACAAGCCTCCTTCTAAGAAATTACAAACATTTTCATCACGTTTTGATACTAAATGGAATGTTTCTCTGATAATCTGTTGCTGTATATCTTCACTCTGAAAAGAAAGGAAACATGTTGATGTTTCCAAATACAAGCATTTCTGTCACATGTATAGCACAACTTTTATACCAAAACCACGTTATTTATTAAAAATGTAAGTCATCCTATTCCCAGTGACTCTAGGTATTCAAAAATAAAAATATTTTCTTTAAAAAGGAAAAAGACAAAAATAAAAGATGACAAGAATCAGACAGGAATAAAAAAGAATCAAGCACACTCAATCCAGGCGTTATTCACACTTGAAAAAGGCCTTGGGAAAAGCTTAAATAGCAACTGAAAAGCTGTTGTGTTATCACAGTTTATGTCAGACCAGACCCAAACAGACTTATGTTAAACCCCTCAAAAAGTTCACTGACTCATTGTGGGACTTTAAATAGCTTAGAATGCTGCTCCAGATGAAAATGTATGATGTATTGAGCATTTGGAGGAAAGTTCAAATGTAATATTTTATTTTTACATTATATAAAATTATATGTTATAAATCTAGTGAATCAGATTTTCCCTTGAATATCCAAATTTGTTCCAATGTTAGGTAAATCCTTTGAAATAGATCTAAGCTAATAAGGCAAGTTCCTGATCAACCTATTTAATATTCCCTATCAAACCCCTATAACAAATATTTTTCATATCTTTTACATTCTGGCCACATAGCCACTTTTGGTAGCATATCTACTTTAACCAGGATAAGTAAAGATGTTATAATAAAAATGTTTTCCGTAAACAGTCCAGATTTTATTTGGATAAAATCAAGAGTGTGTAAGTTTAGCATATAAAATAAAGATCTACTATGCAAAACTTTGCTGTTACCATGCTAGTGCTTAATTCCCCCCAAAAACATATTTTCAAATATAGCCACTCCTTTAGGAAGTAGCATACAGACATTCATGATTTATTGCATATCCATGCTGCTAATCAGAACTGTCATATTTACATAATAAGACATTCATACATATCATCCTACACAGTTGGTTACATATAGAAAAATATCACATTTTCCCATATATCGGCAAAGCCTCATTTTAACAGAAAATAAGCAACTCTTAAGTTTTGCATTTCTCTTTGGTAAACATATATTTGCTGTTATTTTCTCTCTCCCATCAGGTACTAATAGCAGCAAGCTAAACACTCGACTTTTTAATTTATAACAGTGCACAGGATCAACTTATATTATTCCAATGCTGGGATAATATAAGTTAAGCATCGTATATCATCAACTTGAAAAAACCTTTAGTTTTCAGGCAACATGAGAAGTTCACTGCATCCAACCAGGCTCTCCTGTTTCCTACCTTACACTAAAAAAAAAACCTTCAAAGTTGTTGCAATCAGATTACAACCTGTATCATTCCCAGCCCATTTGGCCAATGGTGAGACGCTGGAAGCTGCATGTGGGCAAAGTTGCTTAGCAATCCAGCTGGGAACAACAGGAGCTGCAATCCAATGTTTAGAAAACACCAGATTGCTACAGCAGTCATATATTTATTTCATAAAAAATTAGATTTCTTTTATTTTTGACTTTGCTTTTTGAATTTTCCTTTGTAAAGCAAAGTTATAAGCATGAACAAATGGTTTTTACCTTTCTTGAACCTCCTTCAGATTTGCTCCTATTCAGGTGTGTCCTTTATCTTTCCTATGAGAATATGGGCACTTGTACACTGCTCTAAGCAGCTGGTCAGAAACAACCGCTCTAATTTAGCAGATTGCAGTCTGTGCAAACTGAGATCCACCATTATCTTCTCCGCCTCTCACGCAAGAGCCCATAAGAAGACGCGTAGTATACAATTATCTGCTACAATGTCCTACCTGTCAATGAATACTCCAGCTTCAACCACAACAACAGGAGCACACAACAGATACAAACCTATAGTAAACTGTTCCAAACTCGATTGCAGAAAATACGACTTCAGTAACAGAGTGGTCAATGCCTGGAATGCACTATCTGACACTGTGGTTTCCTCCCCAAACCCTAAACTTAACTGTCTATTGTCGACCTCAACCCATTCCTAAGAGCTCTGTAAGGGGCGTGCATAAGCGTGCCTACTGTCCCTGTCCTGATGATATTCCCTTGTATTCGTATTCATTTCATGTATTCATAATCATGTTTATACTTATATCTATTATCTAATTCATGCTTGACGAAATAAATAAATAAATAAATAAATAAATAAATAAATAAATAAATAAATAAATAAATAAAT